CCGGCGTTCTTGCAGCCCTGGAGCGCGTTCTTCTAGGAAAACTATCGAGAATAAAATTACAGCCTAACCTCTATAAGTACGCGCGTATAATACCGCCGACCCGGTTCGATTTCCAATATCGATTGACGCGCTACCGCCGCCGCGCGAAACTTTTCGACCGTTTTAATGCGGCGGGGGCCGCAAAAAAAGTGTTTTATCCTGTAATAGTGCGAGTGGAAAAAAAAAAATATAATAAAAACCCTTACATAACCGTTAAAACCGCTGCGCCCGTTGATTGTGTACGCTATCGTATATCGATACAAATTCCCACGGAATCTCTGAAACACGTAACGTCGACATTATATTGTTGCGGGTAGGAACGGGTATTAAAAATCACGATCGGCGAGCATATATTTATATAGGGTGGTTATATAGGGATGAGGCGCGTCGAAATTATAATAATATCCGAGTACTGGCTGCTGAAAAACACGAGACCGTTTCGATCCCGGTAACAGTATAAAATCGTTCGGCGGCCTATATTTATATTTATACGATCGTATTATTATTATGGCAAAAGTACTTTGTTTTTCTCCTTCAAACTCTCTCCCGCGTATATAGGCAATAATATTTTAATACTCGTATGTACGAACACTCGGCCGACTTTGAACAACCGAAACCTCGCGCAAACGTGCAGGCCCGACGGTATTCTTATGACGTACCTATCCGTTTCTTGCCCGAGGTACCTATACACAAATACACGCACACACACACACACACACACACACACACAATATAAGCGGAGTTCTTTTATTATTTTTTTTCACCTTTCCATCGTCGTCGTCGGTCGATTATTATCCGAATACGCAACAACGTAGTCGTCGTTGTTGTCGTCGTCGGTATATATATATATTATTACGTATTATTATTATTATTTTTATTATTTATTTTCTCGTCCCGTTTCTTCCGGGTCCCGCCGAGACTCGCGCAGATTTCGTTTTTATCGCCAACAAAGGCCGCGGTCAGGGACTTTTAAGGTAAAGAAAACCGCTAAAAACTACCACCTCGACTAGATCCGAAATGTTACAAAGAACATTGCAGGATATACACCGTTGCACGCGTCATACTAAACGCGTAGAATAAATAAAAACAAACTCCTGGGAAATTTAGAGCCGTTTTAATTTTACCGAACCGAGAGAAGAGAGTGCGACCACGATGCCGAACTTCGTCGCACCGGCGGTGGCGTTAGTTTTCTCGTACTTTCAAATCGTTTTTCCAGCTCGGTATCCGGTCCTGGTTTAACGTCTCGTCGTCGAGACGCGCGTTGCGCAGACGTCACCGTAATTTTTTTCACATAATTTTATAACCAAAAATAATTTTTAAAATTCCACAACAGCCTTCAGTACGGTAATGTTATTAGGTTTACAGTATACGCCTATATTATTAAAATGATTCGGATCGTCGACTCGGGGAGAATAGACTACGGAACATCGGCTATATTATACGCACGTCATCCGGGGTTCTCTTAAAATCCGTCGTGTTACTTTTAAAAGACGTTAAACTAATTAGATATGTATTTTTTTCCTCCAATAGCGTTTAATGTATATACGCGAGAATAAAAAAACATTGAGGAACTCCCACGGTTTAAAGACGCAATGTTATTCACCTTTATATTACCTATATAGTATATAATACACGATACCGGCGAATTTATCGGTACCACTCCCGTACAAATTTAAGTATAGGTATACGTATGGAACATGGAAATTGTTTTTTTCTTTCCCGATCTAATCGCGTTGGACCATCCGTAACCTAGACGAATAAGCGATAAATAATATTGTTAACATTATTGTTCGATACATCCGTTGTTGTCGTTGAAAAAAAAAAAAACTACCCGCGTCGTAATATTATTTATTATATTATTATGCGTCGGCCAAGAGTAGGTATATCTTCTATATTGAATAATTTGTATCGCCCGCCCAATAATGATTGTATTGTACAGATATTATTGAAATACGATGTAAATACAGGATGATCAATGAATTTCCCCCCTTTAACTCTCGGGGAAAAAAAAAAAACGATTAAAAAAATCTTCTCTTTTGGTTATATAAGACGCAAAAACAGGTGACATTTTCAGACGGTCCAGCAATTGTTTACGAAGAAACTCGTCAAAAATAGATACAAAATTACTTATTGCTGTTCTCCTAGTTCTTGTTTGTATGAATTTGAAATTCATATTATTTGTTCATCTTAAATCATTAATTCCATAAACATCACCCATTCACAAACTGTACATCTATTTTTTATCTATTTTAAATCTACTTTTTTTTAGTTAATTCCAATTTTTATCGATTTTAATTTTTTGTATGTGTGTGTGCATATAATGCAGTTCAAATTACCGTTTTGTGCCATTACTGATTGGTATAACGTAAAGCTAGGTATACAACTTATCTACAGTCTTTAAAAATCCAAATAATTCTATTTTTAAAACAAAATAAAGCAATGATATTCGGAAAAATAAATGCAAAAAATGAACGCCTCATTGAAATTAGTAAACATGTAAATATCCTTTTTTTGTTTAACTATGTGAGTATACTTGAGTATAACTATTTTAATAATTTTGTTTTCACTTTATTATTTTATTATTCATTGAAATTATTTAAACTTTCGTTAAAAAAAACTTTTGTATTTTTTAATTTGGATGATGATATAGTAAAATTTTAGTACGATTTTAGTTTTTAATACTCTCAATATTGAAAACCGAACCATAAATTACGAGCGTATAATTTCGATTTCTTCACCACCTATTGTCGGTCGGGAAGTGTATTTCCCTACCATAGCTGAATTCTGCAAAAATCGAAACGCGATCAAGTTTGTTTTAGGACGCGAGAAAGTTTAGTGACCTAAGTGTATAAATATATAATCACTAAAAAACATACAACTACTCGTATATTTGCATATACCACTTGGGCCGAACTCGCAAAGCATCGTTATTGTGCAAAAATTGCATGATTTAAAAAATTAAAAAATATATTTTTTTAATTTTAAAATGTCATTTTAAATTGTAATCAATTTTTATTTTAATCAATGTGTTGAGTTGTTTTGTAAACTATTTAAGATATACAGAGTGTCATGCAGTGTTATTATTAGGCTAATAAATCTGTCAGTATTCTTTTTTTTTCAATCGGGTTTTATGTGAGGGAGACACGTTATATGTAGAGAAAATTAAATTTTTATTTTCATCCCTTAATTATTGACAAAACTAACTTTTAATTCTATAATTATTCAGTATTTTCAAAATAGCCTTTTTGTAAAAGGTTTCATTCTAAAAGTTATTATTCTAATAGTTGTTTAGTAATAGCCTGTTTAATTTCTAGAAAATAGGCGTGAAAACAATTAATATTCAATAGAAGATAAGAAATTACCGTTCTGAATATAATTTCTCATCGTGTAACTTGTTATTCTATTGAAAATTTCTTGTTTTCACTCCAATATCTAGAAATTCAAACTAAAAACTATTAATCAGTTATGAATAAATGATAAATTAGAATATTTAGAATAATATATTTCGCAAACTGTGGAAAAATAAAAAGTTATTTTTTCAGCGATTAAGGGAGGAAAATAAAAATAAAATCTTTTCTATATAATATAGGTCCCCTTCAAATAAGCATAATACTACAGGACACCAGTTTTAAGTAAAAATATTCGAAGAAAAATGTCCGGAGGTGTGAACGCCCGGAGGTAAAATTGTCTGGAGTTAAAAATATCCGGCTTATACAAACTACATAACTGAAAGATGGAATCTTAGGTTTTCCAAATTTATTTTCAAATTTCCCCCCCCCCTCCCAAATATTTAGTTATTTATTGAAAAAATGCTATTGGAGTTGGGGGATAACCAGTGCAAAATAGACCAAAGAGAAAATGACGAAGCACTAAAAAAATAAATGTATTTATTTTACAAAACAAAATGTCACTTTTATGCGTAGAGTACAACAAAGAGAGAATATATTGAAAACTTTTTGATTTGCATTTCACTAAATTTAATTAATATATTGTATAGTAAAATAATATATATATATATTTTTTTATTGTGATTTTATTTTTATTGTTATTTCTATTATTATACGATGTTAACATTTTTTTTAATTTTTGATCAATTTTATCAGTTTTATTTCTTTTAAGACCAAAATTAAGACGATTATTATACCAATTAACACTATACCTATTATTACCCATACAAATCGTATTTGTGTTTTCCCTGGGTCACTTTTCGCACGACGGTGACGGTTCGCGAAAAAATGCGCGAGAAATAAGTATATTATAATATATAGTATAATATTTAAGGCAAGTTATATTTAAGTATATTATTCCAAAGACGACCCGGTAAGATATCCTAATAATATTATTACGGATACATTATTATTTCGAGTGTGAAATTTGTTTTTTTTTTTTTTTTTGCCGTCCCTCTCCTCGTAACGACCCGTTTGCCGCATCACGTGGCGGTTGGGGGGGGGGGCTGGGAAAAGACCCGAATAAGTCTGAAAGGTGCGCCGGCCGCCGCCGTAGCGATGTATATTTTATGCGCGGTAATTTATCGCCCGCGGTGGGTTTTTGTTTTTCGGCGCGTCGCCGCGGGTCCGTTTGGGTTACGGCCGCCGCCGCCGTGTTTCCGATCGGATGAGCAGCGCGGCAGTTTCGCCGCGCGGTTCATTAAATAATTATTACCGTCCGTCCGCGCGGGCCGGCGGCGGCGACTGAGGAGGCGACGGGCGCGCGCGAGGCGGCTCTAGTAAAAGCCGGTCGTCACCGCCGACGCCGATAATTTACCCCCGTCCGCCGCGCGCGCTCGCGTTGTTGGCAATAGTTTTCGCCGCGTTCGACGCCGATTTATAATAATATATATAAATAGAAAAAAAAAAATAATAATAATAATAATATACTTTATACGGCGGCGGCGCTAAACTGCGCGATTTCCCGTTCGCGCTTTTTTTTTATTCCGAACTTGTAACGCGGAGAACGGCATCGGTCCCGTTGCGAGTTTACAGACGTCTTCGCGGCCATGTCGTTTACAACGATTATTTTCGCGCGGCCGGTCTGGTCTTTTGTAAAACGTCGGTTTCCGCGCTACAGAGAAGACGCTTTATCACGGCGATAACGGCGCAATGATGCGACCTCAGAGCGACGCTGCAGATAACCGATCGCCGAGCTCAATATATGTGTTGACGACGGTGTGTCTACACGGAAAAACAACCGCCGATGATTTTCGTTCCTATTTCTCGGATTTCGAAAAAAAAAAAAACAATATTAGTATGAAAAAGACTACTGTTGTAGGTGAGAAGTTAAGGAGAGGGGCGAAATTCAATGTACGCGAAGATTAACCGTCGCTAATGGAAAACGATTGTGAAAGGAGTTCGGTTTATAGTGTTGCTTTCGAATTTTTCGAAAATTCTTATAAAAAAAAAAAAAACAATTCTACCGTATGTATACTTGATTTATTATTATTATTATTATTATTTTTTTTTTTGCCACAAAGTACGACTTATTATTCTTAAATAAATCTTCTAGCATTTATGAGAAACATTTTTGTCCACATAGTAGGTACTTACCGAACACAAATTACGAAAAAAAAACCAGGTAAAATTAAAATGTCTACAAATAGCTCAAAAAGTCTCTACGGAAATTTTAAACTGAATTACAAAAAACTAAAAAAAAAAAATTTAAAATTATAAAAACATCGTTTTCGTAAATTTTTCCTATGTTTTTCCCATTTATTGAGAAAGCTTTTGGAAAAATCAAAAAATAATCATCTCAAAGTACCACCACAGGATAATTACATCTCAGAATAGATGTTTGGGTGCAAGATTGCTGATAGAATTTCTGTACACGATATATAAAAAAAAATAATTAAAAATAAACATCGTTGTAAAACTAATACGATCCGCTAATCACTCCGCTCAGAATCTAAAATTACAATTTAAATTTATTCTAAGCTGTATGTAAATTTAATGACGCATGCAAATTATTTCTTTTTATTTTGTTCACATTAAAAACAGAAAAACCGGTATTTGCACCGGTACCGTAAACCGAAGAAGAATATTTCCAAACAGTGCAAAAATCCTATAGCTTTACTATGATGTTTGCTTTTGTTTTCTTTTTTTCTCTTAGCAAAATTCTTTCTAGTCGATGCATCGAGGGGATCATTTTTTTTTGTTTTTTTGATTTTCCTTGTAGTTTTTTTAACAATCGAGCAAAATCGGGAAAAAACGTCGGGAAGATTAGAATATTTACGTAGTATAGGTTTCCGTTATTTTCGATTTTATTTTTTTTATTGTACTTCAGTTGTAAGCTGTTGTAGAGAAAACCTGAAATTTTAACAGAATACCTATACTAACCATTTATCGACGTGGTCGAATTTTAACAATATTCTGGAAATTTTTGACTTATTTAAATTTTTTAATCACTGTATTTCGCTTGAATCAAAGTATTACACTGCGATAAATTTGCAACGGCGATTGAACTGTAGGTATAGAGGGAGTAATTTGGACGGCCATGTATAGAACCGACGATATCTGTAACAGCATTGGGATGGTATTTTCGGCGGAAATACTGTTTTAAATACGCGTTTAAAGTTCAAACTTGAATGGAATATGGAAATCACGTCATTTGAAAACATGTTTAACCGAACTTCCCTCAGAATCCTATTTCGTCAACAATGATATATCATTGCGTATAGATATAAATTAAATAACTTTATGTGACCTACCTTCCAACTTTCTACCTACAATATTGGTACTACCCATGGTTTTTACGTGTTCCACCCAATGTATACGAGCGCAATACCGTATTTGTTTTTATATTTTTAAACTTTTGTCACGCGGAATCCCTTATTACAGTACAAGGGTGGGTGGTAACGCATACGTCACGGATAGTATATAGCTGGTGTGTGTGTGTATGTTTGGGTATCGGGCGATAAAATAGGGGGAAAAAAATTAAAAACCCGTACTCGGGGTAAATGAACCGTATCAGTGGCCAACAACTTTCTGCAATACCCTTTCCCGCGCGGTCCCTCTTAAATCACCCCGTAAAACGACGACTAGTAATTATCGAATTCGGTATACGTATATTATATACGCAATGTGAGTCCGTTAGGTTTTATGTGGATTAAAAAAATGTTTTATTACTCGATAAATGGTTGAAAATTTGATACGAGTTTGGAGTGGAAACGAAAAATGTCAAGCGTAATTCCATCGGTTTTGTTTTTGTTTTTTATTAAGCGTTTTAGTTCACATTTCGATTTGAACATTATCGAAATTGCGCATAACTATTATTGTGATATTAGATTTTGATTTATGAGAGTTAAATTTGCCGACGAATTTTTCCCAAAAATAAATGCTATTGCACTGTTATACATACTTATATTTATATATATTTCCCGTATATTTGAACATTTTTAACGACTCTTTTTGGATAAAAGATCTCAAACTCGGGAATTAGAATATTTTTTTTGTAGGTGGATTAATGTGATAACGCATTTTAGTGGATTTCAATAAAAACTTGATTATTTTATTGCTGAAGGAAGATGTTTATTTAGCTTCGTGCGCTCATACAGTTCTACTAAATGAAGTCAGTGGAATGTAACTTTATATATCATACACAGTGCAAGTATCAATGATGTGTCTGTTGGAGGTTTCAACTTTCATCCTCTTCCTGGCCCGTTTTTACGCTCAAATCATCATTGTAAAACCAAGTCCCTCGCTCCGCTCAGAATCTAAAAACGTGACTTTTTCTGCGGCGAAAATTCACAAACAGATTCGCAAAACCGGACGCCGGTTAGGTTTTGGCGTACCTAAACGGTTTTGGCGATTCGGCCCGTCCAGCCTGCCGCGCTTCGGATTCACGTCGTGTAAATCCAGTTTACGGCGTACACCGTCGTAGCGGCCGAGACCGTGGCCGTCGGCGTAATAACGTCCGTCCGTATTAACAAACGGGACCATTACAACTACACCGGTGCAGCGGCAGTACTGCACGCAGGGCGGACACTGCACGGCAGTTTAGTAAAATCCGATCGCGACGACGACGTCGACGGGCACCAACACATTCGTATGTACTTACTACTATTGCGCATTATCATTATTATTATTATTATTATTATTATTGCTGTTATTATTATTATTACGTATCATACAGCGCGTCTTGAAACGACTCCGACGGCGACGACTCCTCCGACGATATTCTATATTATATATAATAATAATAATAACGCGCGTACGTTATACGATTGTACATACGCGTATAACGTATATAATAATAATAATAATAATAATATGTAATACGCGCGTATATACACGTATACCGTAATAATGATAGGACGGTCTGCGCGGATAGTTTCCCGGGGTCCGGCGGCGCGCGGAGGAGTCGCCGACGGGGTTAAACGGTTACGGTTATACGCGGTGTAATATACAGTTTGTGCGTTATTATTTTTATCGTTATATCGTTTTATACGAGGGGAAAAATTGCTACGGCCCCCCCCCCTCTCCCGCGAAAGCGCGCACATTATTAACATAGAAACGGTTGCGTCGGCGTCGTCGTCGGCCGTTGTACACACGTCTTGTATTGCAAGAGCGGCGAACTCTCGTATTATTTTCGGTACGTACCCCCGGAACAAATCCCGGGATCGAGACCGCCGCACCCGCCGTTTTGACGTGGCCGGAATGCTCCCGAGGCGGACTACAGTGACGGGGTGGGGGCGAGGTCGTTACTTTAAATCCGGATTATGATATAAATCCGGATTATTAAGTGTTTAAAAACAGTTATTGTTTTATTCCATGTACAATATTTTTTTCTTATCTAAATCTATTTGCTAATTTCGTCGATTTCCCACAAAATGTGTAACGCCTCAAGTCACTACTTAAGTTTCGCTGGACTATAAGTTGAGAAATTGCGAAAAATTCTAAAAACCTGGCATATTTGTTGTTAGAGGTCATATCACATTAAAGCGATAGATCCCAGATTGTATGCTCTTATTGTACGGAATCTGTACATACTATGGGTAATAAAACCCGGCATTAGTATAGTAACAATTAGAAACTTTCACTAGTCGACTATTCCTGGCTCGGTCCGGCTCGGCTCGGTTTTTTTTGTGCGTATAATTATATAAACAGTACGGTCCAGCCCGGGCCTGTATTTTATTGAGCTTAAAGAAAATTACGTTGAATCTCTCTGTTCTCTAATTTGACAATATAATGTAAACATTAGACAATATAGCATTTCGGATTTATTTATCTCTTACATTAACTTAATTATAGATAATTTCTCTGGGGAGAATTTTTTCTCAGTTTTAAAACGCCTACAAAATTAATCTAAGATCATTTATTTCTTCTCGATTGATTAATCCGGCATTGCCTAATATAGAAAATCAGCTATCAAATGAAAATATTTCGTTCGGTTATTTGGCCAGAGGAATTTTAAACTTTAAGGTTAGTATATGCACATTAGACTCTGAGCGGAGCGAGGAACGTATTGATTTTACAGTGATATTTATTTTTTTATTTTTCTTATTTTTTTTTTTTTTCTGAGGAAAACTTTTCTACTAGCAATTGCTCCTAATTACAATGATAGCAATTTTTCTTAAAGGGAATTTGATTGGGATGGTACTTTAGGAAAGCAGGTTTTTGATTTTCCCAACTGTTCTCATAATAACTGGGAAAACAGGGAAAACAGGAAAACCGTGGGACAAACGGGAAAATAGATACAATATATGCAAATATTGTTAAAAAAAATATATATTGCATGTGTAATATTACTTTACCATAATAATATGACATGTATACATATTGTTAACAAAACAACACTATTAACCAAACTCCGCTGAGAATAATTTTTCGTTAGCAACGGTTAATCGTTGCCTACAGATTTACATTCGATTTCCCCACGTGTAAAGTATGTCCGTCTTTTCAAGAAACAATTCGTATTTTGCAAACTTAATTGATAATTATTACATTATTTTTAATAGTTTAATCGGCATTGTTATCATCGACCGTCGTCGTTTAACATGCATAAATAATACATTGTATGCAATAGATATAGACTGGATAGTGTTAGTCTACGACGGGGTTATTAATTTATGGACCACGACAAAATAACTGAAAATTATTTTATTAAAAACCTTTTTAACGTATATACGTTTAATTGTTTAAATTGTATTGTTATTATTATTATTAATTTTTTTTTTTTGTTAACTACTGGGAATTTCCTAAAGTTATTTATCGAAAGTACCTATACCGTTTTACGTGTGTCCAATATATTATAAACTATATAGAGGGGCAACGTGACAGTTTTAAAGCACTTATTATACCTGAAATGTATATCTACACATACACTATAAAAAAAAAAAAAAAAAAAAATGTAAAAAAATTATATATCATTTTCAAAAAAAAGACCCTATTTTATTTATTTCGTCCATAAACATTTCAAATATTTTTATATCCGTATACGGAAAATTATGTTTAGGAGCAAAAATAATAATCACGTCTAGGTATATATAGGTAAGTGTTATTGAAAAATATGGATTCACAATATTTTAGAGTTTCAAAAATATTTCACAACTTAACGTAAAAACTTATTGCATTTTCGACGTGTATAAACATATAAATGACTGGTAATAATAATTATTTTAGATTTTGAGTAGAGCGAAGAAGTGTATAATTTTACAAAGATGTTTAATTTTTTTTTTTTTTTTGTATCTATGCGCAACTTTTCTACCAAAAGACTTGCTCGGATTTCTACGTGTAGTACTTTTTCTGAAAGAAAATCGGCGTGAAAAGGTATTTTAAGGAGGTCATTTTTCAATTTTCTCAAGAGTTTTCCCAGCAAATGTGAAAAACCGGGATAAAACATGGGAAAACCTGGAAAAACATAGGAAAATTGAGATAATCGGTATAACATAAAACAAATATAATTAAAGAAAATATATAAAGCCTATTTAATTGTTACCATAAAATTACATGTATGTTATTGACAAAACACATCACTATCAACTGAACTCCGCTCAGAATCGTTTTTTCGTAACCAATGGTTTATTGTTGCTTACAGATATACATTAAATTATCTTTAACAGTTGCTGCACTCATCCCCATTATCCTAGGATATCTATTTTTTTTTCAATAACATTTCATATACGTGATTGAATGACATCAGGTTGTCAAATCAAAAATAAAATAGCAGCGTAAGTGTAATTAATGGTAACACATTAGTCATAATTTGTATTCATTATTCAATTTAAAATGAACCGTTTATTTAATTACAAATTATTCATACATTTTAATTTATTTGTTGTATTTATATTTTACAAATTTATAATTACATTTTTTCATTTTGGTTTTCAAATATGCGCGGAAAAATTAAAAGTACACAACAAAACTTGAACCAATCGTAACAGCGTCTCTTACGCTGCTCTTTTCAATTTTTATACATAATCAAACGTTAGAGTAGAGTTATAAGTGAAACAACCTATAAGTTGGTATTATATTCTAATCGTGGTTCATATTATTACAATTATTTTATCCATGTAATATTCAGTGAGTAGTTTGATAATATAAAAACGAGTTAGTATAATTGAGTGAAAACAATTTTGATTATAATATTATTAATATAGGTACCTATTAAACATCTACGTGTTTTTCTACACAGAACACTTTTCGTTAACACGACGAACAAAAGTAATTTGTTTTGGTAAATGAATACAAAATAATCCTACCGGTGATTTATTGGTCCCCCAGCTATCTGCCGGAAATAACAGACCGTATAAAATATACGGCACGTGCTAGTTTGGGTAAAAACAACGGCGGACCGCTAATTATTTACCGCGATTCGGTCCGTTTGATAAACATTATACCTCGATTTATAAAATATGTTTTCGATAATATTGATCATTAGAAACACTTGAATCTTTTTCAAATTGTCTTTTACACCGTTCGAGTAACAGATAATATTATTAGTTATGACTTGTGATACATTATTAATTATATTATGCTGCAACATTAGGTTACCGGAAACTCATAGACATAAATAGAGTCTGAAAATACATAGAGTTTGAGCTCAATAAGCTGCCTAATCAGTGATAAAATAATTATAATGTACTAATACATAATATTATAATGAATTTTATCCGAATAATATTATATTATCGAGACACAATGTATTATTTACTAAAAATTACGTTATTTTGTTAAGAAAAACTATGAAATGTCGATGATAATAGGTGTACAAAAACATAGACAACTATTGGTGAACCAATCAGAACTATTGTGTGGTTAGCCATTCTCATTCAATATAATATAGGTTATCTATGTGTACTTTGCAGCTTTAGACGTCGTCGGGACACCGACCTATACCGGACAACACAATATGTTAATAATATGATAACCGAGAACGACATCGACAATCAACAGCTTTTACCGAACAATATAAATACGATTTAACTAAAAGTATTTTATTCCTATTTTTCACACCACCGTAATAATCGCTTTAATAAAATTGATTATTATTTAATTTACGTTGGAAAATAAACTAACTATATGCGTGTTTTTTCTTTATAATCAAATTAAAGTATGAAATCCTCTAAATGTTAATCCGTTTCTCTCGTTCAATGTTTGTTTTTAATCGCCCTCTCGAACAACAGTATATTCTAAGTACTCCTACTATTATTGTTAAAATTATTATTAAATTATTCCATATAGGTACAGTATAATACACCATTGGCATTAGCAAAACAGACTATAATTTAATTCAACTAAACAAACGTAACTCTAAATTTATTATCCTTACCGATAAATATTTATAAGTTATTATATTGTATCTATTATCTATATATGTAAATTAAGATGGTAATACTTTAAATTAACAGTAAAATAATAGTTATACATAACCTTAAAAGTTAAAAGTTAACAACATAATATAAAATAGATTTTAAAACATCTATTCAAATATGATCTTATTAAATAATGGTATCTATTGAAATGATTATACGGTTTTAAATTATAAACGGAAGAAGGAAAAATTTATTAGTTTCAAAACGATGTAAGTACTTTTTTTTTTTTGAAACTAATACTTTTGGGGCAATAAAAATGCTGTAAACGTTCATGTAATATAAAGCGATACATACTAGTAGCAACTTTATAGACGGAAAAATGAACACAAATGGTATTTTGAGAGCGGTAGTTTTTCGAATTTCCTACTTCAGTACCTACTTTAAAAATTGCGAAAAACTAGGCAGCGTAAATGGCAAGTACAAATGTTAGCGAGTGCGTTAAAATATTAATTCTGAATTCGATTCGGAATCGTTTTACAAACGCTATGGTACCTAATTTAAAATAATAATACAACACTGGCCAGCGTCCTTGTGGTCCACACCCAAAGCAGTAAGTAGCTTATCCTTCTTTGGTATATCTTCTCGTATCTACTTTTTTTTGAAGATAGATATTATATTCCTGCAAATTCACTTTTATTGCCGAAGCGTTCATAATAACATGTAATATATGTTTTGGTGAGATATAAAAATAAAAAAACAATTACTAAAATTCGAACTAGCTTAAAGTTTAAGAATTGAGGTAGGTAAATAATGTAATAATAATAAAACCCGAGCATACTTATTCGCACAATAAGTAAATCATACTTATAACAGAAATTTTAGAAGGCTTGGCAAATAAATCATTGTCATAAAAAACAATTTTAGGTGGAGCTCGATAAACTGCGATAACGTTATATTATTATAGTCCTGATTTCCTTTATTCTAAAGGTAACCCGAAAATCAACAGAAGTAAAAAGTAAACTAAAAGTAGAATTTATAATAGTTTATTGTCAGTTGTTTTGAAGTGTTTTAGAAAAACTGATTGGAACCTAGAACAACTATTCAATTATGGTTCAAATAGTACCACTATAGTACACCGGGTGAAAAATATTCATCTTTTAAGGTATGAGGTTTAAAACATTTTCACTGTACTCCAAAAAATTTAATGTAAAATGAAAAATGTCTGTAGTTTGAAAATATAAATGATTGGGGGAGGAGTTTTAAAGACAAATTCCCAAAAAGCACATTCTCGATATTAAAAATATGCATACACAAAATTTCATAAAACTGGATTAATCTGTAAGAGTGTGTACAACTAAAAAATACCCTTTTCCTTTAAAAACCATGGGAAAATGTATACTTGAGTTTAACCAAAATGTATTTAATCATTTCATTCCACCTATAAAATAATAACTCTAATTTCCAAGTTTGAGCTCATTTAGTCCAGAGGAAACCACTTAAAATGTCCAAAAGTAGCGGAAAAAAGAAATATATTATTTAACAAACACAATATAATAGTCTATGCAATAGTCTGTATTTTTGGAGGAAATTCGACAAATAACAATAGGTATCGATTAGACGTATAGTCTTTTTAAACGTCATTGCAATTTGAATAGTTTTAATACCGTCCATATTTGTTTTGTACAGATAAAAGAACCGCAATATACGTTATTTATTTTGTTTACCCCACTATTTCTGCAAGTTTATCTTTTCAAAGATAAAGTTTAAAAATTCTGATGATATTTAAAAAGAATTCCTGTAGTTTGGTCTGCATCAAATACAATAATATCTGGAGGTGAATATTATTTTTTAATTATTGAGTGAATGCTATTTTTCTATTAAGAAAAGAGAACCCGACCAACAGTCAAACCTTTACTATACGTTTTACAATACACGGTAATATTATTTCAGTACTTCTGATTATTCGACAAATTAAAACTGTAATATATTTTATAATACATTTTAAACTCGAAGACCTACATCGAAAAATTGTATAATTCAATCGATCTTCATAGTATAGAATAAGTGAACAATTTTACCACACAAGCACAACACATATTGTAATTTTACCAAACTCGAAAATTTAGATCATACCTAAATTTTTTTAATCGAAAAATCGTTTAGAAATATTAATAAGGTAAAGAAATTGTTCTATGTTATGAATATCGGTAGGTACTTATGATAATTTATGTACAATAATATTTTAATTACAAAAATATTATGTTATACCGTGACATTGTAATTAGCATATAGATTAAAATCGTAAAACAAAATTTCTAATTTCCACCGTTTTATCGCTGACTGTTATTTAAATCACTTGGATACAAATTTCAAAAATTATAAAACAGCACGGGTCATAGTCGAAATGTATAAATGAAAATGCTTTAGGGGCCTTTTTATTCGCCCGAACACATTCCCTACAGCAATAATATTGCAGACACGAAATACCGTGTTTGTACAAATCAATAACTTTGTAACTTTTTAACAGTCCAATTTGTGCAAATAATTACTATACTTACGTATACAATAATAATGTTATAATATAGTGTAGTCATATAATATTATCTTTTGCGCAAAATGTTTCGAAAACCAGACGATTATAAAGTTTTAAAACTTAATTGACGAAAACACGGTACGACACCGCGTGTAAATTATATTTGAAAAGTTAAACATAAAGGGAATCACAATATAATGGTTATGTACCTATAAACATTACCGTTCCTGATTTCGCTGGGAAATTACAAAATTACAAAATCTAAAATAACGTTTTGGACGTACAAAATAACTGTATACAGGTATAATAGTAGTTATCGTTTATTTAACTATACTTATTCTATTATATTTATCTATGTCTGTGAATTTAGCCAAAACGTTTTTTCAATACAAGTTCTGAATAGTGTCAGTGTTTTGCAAATAATTACCGAATATTTACAAGTCCAGTCCCGGAATTTGTGAGTAATATCCCAATATTTCTTCTGTGATTCTAGATTATTTCAATCTATGATTTTACATCTTAAGTTTTCATGAAGTTACATCACCCTAGATAATATTCTAACACGAATTAAATAGAGAGATACTTTAAGGGGGTAATTTTTTATTTTCCCAGGATTTTTGCCAATAAATTGGGAAAACGTGGTAAAAACAGGAAAATAGGTACAATATTAAACAAATATTATTAAAGAAAATATACAATGCATATTATGTAATTATTTTACCATAATATGACACATAATATATTGTTGACAAAGTAACCCTATCAAATAAAAACCACTCAGAATTTTTTTTTTCATTAGCAAGTGGTTAATCGTTGCTTACACATACACCTGTTTCCGTTATCTTGAGACAGCTTTTTTTTTTATAAAACGATTATTGGGTTTTTAGTCGGCGTGGCGGACCGACACAACGGGAACACGATAATACACATTTTCTGTGCGTGAAGTATTATAGGTATAGAAATCTAAAAACATCGTCTATTAATTTTATAATCCGTGTGGGGTGATGAATATAATGAATGGAGACGATTATAGTGTTACATACACGAACATTTTGAATTACGAGACCGCCGCGGCCGTCGTCTATTTATTTAGCGTAATGTTGCAGTACATAACGCGCTATAATAATAATAATATCAACATTTAAAATTATACGTCGTCTCATTAATATCACAGTAAATTAAAAGGATGGATGGATAAATACGCGGCCGTTCCGGGAGTTTAATGTATTATGATACTATGTCATCGTGCTCAAGAAAATACGTCACCACTATGGAAGTATACAATTTATTAAAAACCGAAGGTACCGCGTGTTTTGAGAATAATTCTCGGTTTAGATTTCGTTATTTTTAGATTTTGAGCGGGGCGAGGAGTGTATTGGCTGATATGAGCGATTTTGTGTCGTTTTCTTGTCTGTGAACGAATTTTCTATTCGAAACTTTGATCCAATAAAAATAAAAAAAAAAAATTAAGAGACATTTTTTGTGGCATTTTAGATCCAGTCGGTGCATAGGTTAGGCATAGAAAAGGCCATTATTTAATTTTCTTAGTAGTTTTCCTAAGAATTAGGAAAAACCTTAGGAAACGTTTAGAAAAACAAGACAAATTTACGGCAATAAAAGTTTCATTGTTTTCTTTTTTTTTTCCGTTTTGTTTTTATACCAAAAATCATGTTCCGAATTTGAATAGTTATTTATTATATATTATGGCATATTAAATGTTTGAATTCTGGCATTGTGTGTAAAACTGTGTAAGGCTGTGCAATGAAGTTAAAGCGTTGGTTTCGGTGATGGTGTAGAGGGGCTAGTTCGGTAGTCGTTGCTGTTTTGCAATACAATTAATATGTATTTTGGCGTAATTTATTTTAATGAATTGCTTAATCGAGCTCCACTCAGAATCATGGTCTGTTAGCAATGATTTATCGTTGGGTACAAATCCATTCCCGAATTTCTGCCTATAACAGTAACACATGGATTAGCAGAATCAGTTTTTTATTTGTGTTTGTGTGCAATTTTTCTACCAGAAATCTTGGTCCAATATAAAAAACGACAATAGAGCTTCTTTATTGTATATATTATATACAATTGGCTAGTTGAAATTTAGTTGCAATAGCTGAAATTGGAAACAGGTTTTTTTTTTAAAAAAATCTTGAAATATTTTTCATAATGATTCGAAAAATACATAAACAATTTTGGAAAACGAAAAAATATAAGGTTTTATTATTTTTGATTATTGTCGTAATTCGGTGAAAAATAATCATAGGAAAACTGAAAATTTAACAGAATGTTTATTTTTAAGTATACATAATACTCAATTAATCTTTTATTGACTTAATAAAATTTAATCATTGACATTTTCAAACTTTTTTTTCTTGGTTTTCTATGCATAAGTTGTAGTTTTAGGTAAAAAAAAAAAAAAAAATTGAGCGTACCGTAGAATGCCAGTGCTATCTTTGTGGGTGCACTGATACACTGGCCGATCCAAAAAAAAAAAATATTTCAATTTATTCAGATGAATTTGCTAGGATCCTTGTTGATAATCTGTATTTCAAAACACGTATAACCGAACTTCGCTCAAAATCGTAATTCATCAGTAATAATTTTTCACCAGTATCAGCTCTTTTTTTTTGTTCTTAAATACCAAAATAGCTATTTCTATGCCAAAAATTCCTATACATAAAAAAAAAAAATGTTAAAATTACTAGACGCAAACAATATTGTGTTAGTGGTGTAAACTGGTGTTTCTATGATTGAAATATCTTTTCCAAATTGAATCGAGCAATATTATACGACAATACAAAATAATTCTCCGACTTACAATTATATTACTGCATAAGTAGTAATCTATAATTTACTTCAACGGTTTTCTTTAACTTAACAGGTCAGAATAGTATATTAATTGACGGGAACTTGAGATTTTATAGGACACAATAATCTTTAGGTGCAGATTTTTCATTACATCAGAAAACCAGTTTAATGGATTGATAATGTATTAATTGATTGATTGATTGATTAATATTGATTACAATCGTCACTGACTAAGAGCCTACACCAGTTTATTAATAGTGTGTCCAATAATAATTTGTATTCGTATATAGTTAAGAATTCGTTTCTCAAATTTTTGGTTACATTGGACTTACCGTTGAAAACTACAATTACTATTATAACTTAACAGTTTATCAAGAACCTCTAAGAAAGTTTTTCAATTGTAATAATTTATTGTTACTTTCAGAATATTCTTACTAATTAAATCTGTATCCTCACCTTTACAACTTCCCACCTAAAACAGTGATGTCTACCCATTGAATATGGTTATTCTAGATTTGGAACACAGAGCCAGAAATTTATTGGTGTCACTTTGATGCACGAGTAATTTTTTTCTGTCTGTAAACAATTTTTTAAACAGAAAACTTTCTCCGATCGAAAAATGACAAAAGATTTTCTCGATAAAGTGTGGATCTAGTTAGTGTATTGGAGAGGTAACTTTTTGATTTTTCAAGTGGTTTTCTATACAATTGGGAAAATCTCAATACAAAATTATAAGAAAAACTGAAAATATTTACAGCTCATTGTGGCGTTACCGATTTGATTATTTTTAATTTTTACATACTATATACAAAGTGTCCCACAAGGATTCGACAAATGCAATAACTTTTGTTCTATTCAATATTTTTGATATAAATTTTTTTTAAATAATATGCCTCAGCACTATACTTTATGTATAAACTTTTTTTTTAGGGAGAGGGAGACTTAAAACAAAACATTTAAAATTTCACTATAATTTTTTTAAAAAATTAAAAATAGCCATTTTATAAAATTGATTTTGGAAAATTTTTGGTGGTTGAAACTTTTGTTAAAGTATAGTCTTTTATTTTCTACGATTATTTGAAAATTTGAATTATTTTCAATTCAATCATAACAATTTTGTTTATCAACATAAATAACCATTATTGATTGATTCAAACTACCTAATAACTATAATATGATAATATTATTGCATGATATTAACTCATGGAAAAGAAAATCCTGACTAATAACTGATAACTGAATAACCTCAATAGGTAATTTTCACATTTGAAAAAAAATTCAAAAATCGTAACTAATAAAAGTCATACTTTAACAAAAGTTTCAATCACCAAATATGTTCTAAATATCTATTTTACAAAATGGCTATTTTGAATTTTTTAAAATAATTATAGTGAAATTTAAAATTTTTATTTTAAGTCCCCCTCCCTCTAAAACAATTAATCGTTGAGTACAGATATACATACCCCTGCCTATAATATGTTTCAACGGGCATATAGAATATAGGATACAATTTGATTCTTTTTTTTTTTTTGTATACACGTAGTATTTTAGCTAATTAAAATATCATTAAAACACAATAGTTACAAAAAATAATTTTCGGTTACAGTATCTCGTTAACGATGAAAAAAAAATCACCTTTTATAAGTAATCATTCAAATTACCGTCATGATAATTAAATCTTTATTACTTTATTTTAAAAGTGTTCTGTTTAAATTCCGAATGAAATGCTTAAGCACTATGTAATACATCTAATATATTTATGAGCTCACTTAAATGGTGTACATTTAATCTGTTGTTCAGTTGTTGCATTGTATTTGTTTACATTTTATAAAACTACTTATACATTTTCTAATTCACTTTATTTACTGTATTGAGTTTATATGCATCTTTAATAATACAGGTCATATCAAATACTGTCACTATTAATATTGATTAAAAAAAATTAAAGGAAAAGTTTTCAATTTCGTATAAAACAAATCATTATTAAAGTATAAAATCTTCGTGATGAAACGTGTTTTAGAATTTATAGTTTGATATAAAAATATTATGTTGATCGAGTATAGTAAACGCATTGTGTAGAGGATGTCGTGGTGGATTAAAATCTTTCGAAATATAGACATCTAGCTATATTTTTTGATTATTTTAGTGCAGTTTTTATGCACGCACAAATATTGTGTTTAGCAGTTTGTTGTGTAACCCTTCCACACAGAAAAAATAAATATATATATATATATTCACTGAACAATATTATGTTGTTAAAATTTTATAGAAGATGATGGCCGCACAGTATATAATATTTATAATTAAAAATAAACAATAAATATACATATTTATTATATACAGGGCGATTCTTATATCGTCGAACAATTATTTCGCAAAGTATTGACTTTTTTTAACAAAAACGTTTATGACAATTTAGGAAAGAAGCCGATCTAAACTTAACATTGCTAGTATTTTGTGTCATCCTTATTTTTAGGGGTGAAACGACTACCTACTTTTGATTTTCAAATGGCAATCTATGTTCACAATTTCCCGAATAGAGCATTCGTTTAAATTAATTTTGGTGTTGAAATTTTCAATTTCCGTCAACCCGTTAACGATATTTTCCGCTTTTAAGATTCGATCGGGAAATGGTAGTGATACATTATTTGTGAAGCGACCCGGTCTGCGGCATTTGAATAGTGTTCCACTACTATCCTGACCTAAACTTAAAAATGGGATGACTCGTGAACGGGTTGATGGAAATCAATCATTTCAACATCAAAGTTTGTTTAAACTAATACTCAACCTATGTATAGGACTTTTAATGTAGCTTATCATTTGAAAAGTTGGAAGTCGTTTGACCCCGAAAAATAAGAACGACAAAAAATAATAGTAATATAAATTTAAAAGCTTTTTGTTTCATAAATTTTCAAACGGTGTTTCTGGATGGAGTTCGGTTTATCCATTTTTTGAAAGGACTTAATATTTACAGTTTTCATTGAAACTTGATAGGTATTCTAATTCTTATAAAAATAAAATGTCTACATTATACTCGATTTTTTTTTTTTACCACAAATTACGAATTATAACTTCCTGTTAAATCGTCAAGCATTTCTGTTTGGTCAAACAGTTTTATCCACAGACTGTCTAAAAATAACTCAAAAAGTCTAAAATGTTTTGAAAATTTTACCACATTACCACATTTAGAAAAAGCAAATTTTAGTGTTCTGTTCAAATTCAAAAAAGTCTCCATAAATATTTTTAACTGAATCAAGACAAAACAAAAAAAAAAAAAAAAATTGAAAATAACAAACATCATTTTAAAACCATTACATTCCTCGCTTCATTCATAAAATGGCATGTATTAAGAACATCAACGGCTGATCAAATTTTAAAATTTCGATTATTATCAGCAAATTAAATATTTATAATACATTATTAGCATCACTAGACTTTGGGCTTAGTTATAATAAATAGGTACCTAATGTAATAGTCATACGTGTTTTCCCGCTTACCTATCTATACAACCGTTGTACTTATAATCACGGTTGACAGAACTATTACATTTATCAGCTTTGTAAACAACTGTTAAATGCCATGATAATTAACTGCATTGATTAAACATTATCAATCATGATTTCATTTCTTACGGTATTTTAAAAAGTTAAAATTTTACATGTCAATATGTGGAAATTGAAAAGAATATTACATCTAAATATACCTAATACATTATGTATCACACCGTAGAAATAAAATAAAACAAACATTTGTATGCGTAACATTTGCATCGTCCGGAGTATTTATATTTTAATACGGTACGATAAGAACAATTCGGATCAATTTTACTAACCCAAAAGCGTTTGCCGAGGGGAAAAAAAAACATCTTGGTAAAACCCATCGTGTCATCGGTCTATTAAAAATCTAAAATAGTTTATAAATTAATATTTCATAGTTTTTAGATTAATTACGGTTGACAATGTTGTAGGAAAATAATTATTTCAGTCGATAAAAGTACAACACGATCGATATTTGGTACACATTTCCCCCTCCCCATTTCACCAAGAAAAAATGTATATTACATTTACGGCCTTGCGTGTGTGGACGCGGAGTGTCTAAATATTTTGTTCTGCAGACTGCAGGCTGTTAAACTCTTCTCGGGGTTATAATATTATAAAGGGTTTTCCCTAATGACGTGTTTAAAGTAGTTTATGAAATGGGATTACTTTTAAACTGGCTAACGTTAAATTGTTAACACTCGCTAAACACTCTCGCGTTATTATAGTGAATAGTTGCTACGTAGGGTTAAAATAGGTGTGTGTGTGTACATGTATAATATTATATTGTATACCATACTTATCTACTTGAATCTTCACCGTGATCGTTTAAGCCGTGCAGTATTTGACAAAAACGAAAATTCCGATAGTCACCGAGGCGATGGTGTCTAACGTACCGTCGGAATACAACGGGTCCCGAAATATACGTCCCGGAGTTGAACGCCATTCCGCCGTAGTGAGTGTCGTGTTCGTTCTCGATTAACAACGGCAATTGCGTCCCGTCCCAGACTTGAATTATTTAAACTGGAGGATCAAAAAATCGTATTCACCGTTGTGATCGCCCGTAGACACGTACGTTACAACAGTTCAAAATTATAATATCCCCGCCGGGGTGTTGAGGGACCGGCGACATTCCGGACGACTACGAGTACACGTGATAAACAACGGGTATTACGTTCTGTAATAAGTCGTTTGCGTTAAACTCGCGATAAAAAATTATGAAAAATTCCGTAAAAAAATATTCCGAACAAATAATTTTTATCACATTTATATTGTACATTTTATGTACACTTCGATATATCTATCTATATATAGTACCTTTATAATCACTGTATCGATATACGATTACAAGTTTGGTCGAATTGAGTTCCGCATATTTAACGGAAACGAGGCACACAGCGATCATACCTATCTATTTTGACATGATATTTAATACACTATAATGGCAGGTAGTGATGTGACATAAATACGAGTAATCCGAAAATCCGGTAAGTCCGGATTCGGACTTCAAAATACGTGAGTTCCAAATTTTAGATTTCAATATTTATAATTACGATTAGTTTTTTAATTGTATCAAAAATGCATAAAAATTAGTTTTCGGATTATAAAAATCCGGATTTTTCCCACCATAGCTATATCGAATGGTATACTTTTATTATAATTATTATACAAGTAGTAAATAAATATATAAATAAAAAATGTTTGTATAAAAATGAAAAAATGAATAAATGCGTTGCTTGGAGTATTAGGATAAGTGTATTTTACGACTGGTTTTGAATTAAAAATTCATCATCAGGTATATCACAGTCAAAATGTAAGATAATATATTTACTTACGAGTATTAACCGATTAAATAATTTTGTTTTTACTTTGTTGTTTTATTATTTATTATTATAGAATTTATTTTTGTAATTTTTTTTCTATATCAAGTATAGTATATTATCTGAAAAAATACCAATAGTCCTTTAAACAATGTAGTAGAGCACGCACACCATAAAACCTCGCATACACACAGTTACAAAATACCTAAAGGGAATAACAATAAAAATTAATTTTTGAATAATATTGGAAAACGAAAAAAAAGCAATATAAAAGTATAGGGAATGACTATACAGGTTTCCCTATTATCTTGAATTATTTCTATTTTATAAATTGCTAAATTATAGTGCATACAGGTTAATTTGTTTTTATTTTAAATTTTTTACGTATCTAATGTAATTTGAAAATTTCCGCGTTATCTCGTTTTTACTTTCATAGCAATTTATTATAAATTTATAACATACTTTTATTCGTACAACTGAATCGGATGTTATCACAATCGTTTTAAGATGACGTTTTTACGAAAATCGTAAAAGTTAAATCATTAAAACGTGTACAACCGAATTCGGCTCAGAATCGGATTTCGTCAGCAATGGTTGGCTTATCGTTGCGTACAAATATAAATTAAACAACTTTATACACCTTCCCAAGTTCCCATCCATAACAGTGGCACACTGATCCCCCGCAGTATCAGCTTGTTTTTATTTTTTTTTTTACATTCGTAAAAGCGGTGACATTTCGTTAGAGGGGGCGTTCCGAACATTTACAATCATCTTTCAAACCGTCGAAAGCACAATAATATATACGGCTGTGTGCGTGTGTGTGTGTGTGTGTGTGTGTGTGTGTGTGTGCGTGTGGGTACCGATAAGCCGACCAGGCGATATTAATTGACGGAGAGAAAAACTTTCGGTGCTTTTCGTCGTCCGCCGTTTTAGGAGAGGCAGACGCGCGCGATTGCCGTTGAGCGACCGTGCAAAAGCACGACCGCGATAAAACCCGGGCGCGGGCGCCGTCGACCCGAGCGGATAACGTGATCGCGGCAGCCGCGGGCCGCTGTTTATGAACGCGCGGTGGATCTCGATTGAAAATTACCGTGTTGTTGCCGGCGGTTCAGATCGCTACCGCGGAACGACTGTTATGAAAACGTTGACAATCGACGGCCGATCTGTAATTCACCGGGTAGGCGCGGGTTAATGCGCACAGGTGTACCGGAGCCGAACGTGAGAACGGCGAATGCAAATCGGTTTACGGGGTGCGTGGTGGATGCGCGAACGTATTATTGTTATTACCATTGCCCGTAGATTATCACGCGCGCGCTGTACAACCACAGCGGCGTTTTCCGCGAGTACATTGATTAATATTTAAACGGTTATCTGCATTACCGTGTAACGGTTGCGATGCGATCGGTATTGTCCGGCATGCGCGCGCGCGCCACGCGGAATTATCATCAATATCGTTATTATTTACAACACGCGGTGCAACAATCGCGTCGAATTTTCAATTAATACCGCATTATATAGACGTACAGACATACGCCTCTGGGCGAACGAATGTCTGTGACGCGTTCGCCTCGTCGTTATCGCCGGGATTCCGTTATCGGCCGTGCGGACGATCAAGAGCCGTGTACGGGTTGAAAAACACAACGGGAGAAAAAAAAATTAATAAACAAACGTTAACCCGTTTTCTTTGATCGGCGCTCGCGCGGATACGCCTCCGAGTGCGTGCGCGTATAAATGCGTCGCGTAACATACGTCGCGGTCGGACCAGACGGATGATAAAACACCGCGATAATAACGATAATAGGCACGTAATAATGTGTAACGCGTAAACACCCGCCGCTGCGGCTAATTGCGTATGGTTTTCTACTACCCGCCGTACGTCCGTCCGGGCGGCGGTCGGCTGCGCACGTAAAAATAAAAGCCTACCGACTGTTGTCCGAGCGATAGGCGGGCAAAACAATACGAGGCCGCGGGGTATCTGTTCGTATAATACACGTTGCGAGCGATCGTTTCGATCATATCTCCAACGAAACTCGTTGCTTATTACGCTTATTATTTATTAGACACGTCTCGAAATTGAACGTTTTCACTTTCGGGAATAGCAGACACCCGGCCAGTATTCCGAGCATACTTTATTCGGAATTCTCTTTAAACATTATGAATATTGAAAAATGTATGCAATACCGTATTCCGAATATTTGGAAAAAAAGTATTTAATTATTTGGAGGGAAAAAAAACAATGTATACTTTTTCTCAGTCTTATTTTAGAGTGTTTATTGCCCGTAGCTTCATGATGTGTGCTTTGCTTTCTCGAAAACCACATTTTCGGTTAGTAAAAATACTCAGATCTGTTCGCGCGTTACTTTAAAACATGTTTAATTTCCACCCGGCGCAGTGGTTTTAAAACATTTTTTTCAAAATTTCCAACAGTTAAAATGTAATGGATAATCACAAAACCTGTTATCATATTATATCTATTGTAATTCTCTCAAATCGCCCGAACTTGACCTCACACTTTCTTTTTAACTCGTATTCCTAAAATATTCTGAATGCATTCCGTAAATTACTGTGAGATATTTTGAAAATACTATCGGTATAAAGTATTTGAATACATATTCCAAATGCTCTCGTTTGTATGTATTCAAATATATTCTGAACACTTTTAAAAAGTATATATTTTACCCAAGTCTACGCGTGGAAAAGTATAACTTAAAGACATTATTCGAACTTATGTAACTTATATAAATAAAACTCGCACATATACAGGTGCCACAGAAAAGAGCGATATGTGGCTATAAGAATAGTTTTTTTTCAATTTTTTTTTTTTTTTTTTTAAATAAAAACTTTGGTTTACCGGTTCAATTGGTAAAATATTTACACAAATTACTACACCAGAGAATTTATTGCAAAATTCTCCGCCAAAAGAAAGAGTCACTCGATTTTTTTACATAAATAATCATTATCACCGCCTTTAGTGGCTTATCGTGTCCAAAATAGTAATTTTCGGTGGGACACATGATATTGTATGTAAATCTGTCAGGGATGTCAAAATGATTAACTTTTTTATTTAAGCGCCAATTTACGCACGCAGAAATATATGAATAATTTGTTAACAAAAAATATCCAGAATTTTTCGAATATATTTTCAGATCATTCCATCAACGACTTGATGGAAATCAATATATTAAAGTTAACGGAGGCCATATTGAACATTTACTCAAATAATTATTTGATAGCTAATAATAAAATTTAATACAAAAAAAAAAAAACTGAATTTGGTCATTTATTATGTTTTTTCCAAACAAATTAGTCGTATTTTTCTAATAAGATTATTAAATTATTAAATCATTACAAAATCATTGATTCCATTGAAATCTCCGACAAATGTAGGTACACACAAATTTATGTGTCACATCAAAATTACGATCTTGGACATGATAAACCAAAAATAGCGGTGATAAAGATTATTTTTGAAACAAAAAGAATTCTGTGATAAATTTTTTGGCACGGTTTATTTTTATTTTGTATGGATATTTTACAAATAAAACTATTAAAACCAAAGTTTTTACACTACCTAAACAAAAAATTACACAAACTTATTCTTATAGCAACATATAGAGTAAAAATCGTACAATCGGCCATTATTTCCTAGGGCACTCTATATATATTTTAATCTTGTTTTACAAAGCAAATATATTACACCATGAATAAAGATACTAAAAATAATTTTTGAACACTAATAGTTTGAGTGGCCCATGAAATTTACTAAATATATAGTAACAGATTTAATAAATTTTCCAACAACCCAGGACCTTTAGTTTGCGGACCATAGGTTATATATTATTTTATCAGTTTGAAAAAATACATTTAAACATTTAATATTATATAGTTAATTATATCTTGTAGGTACCAAAGAAACTAATTTAATTTGTCTATGTCTATAGGTCAGCACTAAAATTTTCTATTCGAAATTCAAACGAATATAGTATAATATGCAAAGCCTTTTACTATACGAAAAGATTAGCTCTAAAATGTGACGTAAAAATATAAAAACACTCACGTGGTTTGTCCAATTCAATAATAATATCGTCTGTATCTTCATTGTTATCATCAAACGGTGGACTTTGAGTCTGTTGCGAGATATCTCGATGAAGACGTAGATTGCCGCTGTTTTCTTCAGAAAATGACACGTGCCGTAGTCGTTTGTATTTATGACGGTTATGTCGATTTCCAGAGCCGTGGAGTGGTTCACCGATTAGCACCTCGGACATTGCCAACCAAATCACAGTCAATAAGATGACGGACTCCGTGAATGCCATTTTCTGGAACATATTTTTTTGAAGACAACAATAATATTATGAAGTATAATAACTACTTGCGTCACCTGGAGTATTATGATAAGTGTATTATACGACCGGTTTCGAATTAAAAATTCATCATCAGGTATATTACAGTCAAAAATGTAAAATGTGACTGAATATAAAAAAAAAATTTAATGAAGATATACATAGAAAACAAAAATTTATAAATTGGTCGTTTTCCATTTCATCATTTAATTTTTTTTATATTCAATCGCGTTTTACATTTTGACTATACCTAATGAATTTTTAATTTGAAACATTTCGTGTAATAAACTTATCATAATATTCCACGAGACGCATAGATTCATTTATTTATTTCATTTTTAGGTATACATTTTGTATTTATATATTTATTTACTTTAAATAATAGATGTTAATACTTTTAAACAACTACGAGCGCTAGTGATAAAGGGCTCTCAGCTGGTTCAAATAGTTCACCGGTCATCATAAAGCACTATCTGTTATAGGCCGTTTTGTATATCTTAAGCCGTGGTCTACAACAGCTGTTATCACTGCAGTCATTAACAACCGTAGTAATGGTTCATCCGGCCTATCATTTGACAGCGGTAACCAGGTCGTACCTATCTTATTGACAGTTGTCAAATTAGCAGTAGATAACAGCATCAAATTGAAAATGATAAGCAAACTAGGGGTTAGAAAACTTTTGATAATAACTATTAAGTTTAATAATCTCAATTCAAAAGTTCCCCTTTAAGTAATTCAACTTATAACATAACATTTTCCAACACAACATAAATAGTTAGTAAAAATTAATTATTTTTAATAATACGTACGATTTTATATAAAAGAAATTATTTTGTGTGAATCATTTTTGTAGTGTTAGAAAATTTAGTTTAATTAGTTAAAGCCATTAGTAGAGGGGGGGGGGACTTTTGAACTTCTCTTTCGTTTTCGCTTTTTAAATATTTTTAAATATAAGTGTTTTTTTTTTCAGGGATTTGTTGACGTTTTAAAGCGTCTTTTTGTGGATTATAAGAAAATATAAATCCTCGCTCTCATTATAACCATTCATAGTTTCAAAATAGCTATTTTGTAAAAGATCCCCGATACTGTTTTAAACAATTTAATGTAACATACCTTCATATTAGATCAATAGTTTCTTAGTAAAAGCCGTTTTAATTTTTAGAAAATTGGTGTGAAAACAATTAATTTTCAATAGAACAACACGTTATGCGATAAGGAATCACAATTTACACGGTTATTCTTTATCTTCTATTGAATCTTATATCGTTTTTACTCAAGTTTTAAATAGTAAAGGGATGAAAATAAAAATTAGTAGAGTGTGTAGAAGAAAAAGAAGAAAAAATAATAAACAGCATCGTAAAACCAATAGCTCCCTCGCTACGCTCGGAATCTAAAAGATAAATATCGACAAAATTATTAGCATAAGGATAACACTATACTATACTCTGTATGGTTTGAATACTTAATTAAAAAATTACAAATTTAAACGAAATCAATATACATGTAATAATTTACAAGACTTATATGATTGAGAGAGTACATTGAAAATATCAATGTCAATTTGTAAATTTAATTTCAGTTTACCAACTATATCGTTGAGCGGACGCCGTCGTGCGTTAACGTCTATGTTGTTGTAATTTTATAATACTGTTATCGTTTGTAACAACCATACACAGAGGATGCATAGAGGATGAAAATAATACCAACTTGGAATAATCTCTACCTTTACTGAAAAATAAATAAATAAATTTTTACCCGACAAAGTGGAGAACATAAGAGTAATAATAACGATATAGAATAAGTATATTATTGTGTATTTTGTACCGTGTCGTAGCGTTTTTATTAGTTCAATATCGATACAAACTGTACAGGTACCTGCTACATAAAACGTTTTTATTCGTTTTCGTAAAGTGTTATTTCTGTATATTGTGTCATTCGAATATCAATAACTACGAGAAGGTTTTAAAAAATTAAATCATAAAAGCTTTACGGCGCATAATATATAAACGGTTTTACCTATGTCGGGTAAAATACATTATATGCAAAGACATAAAAAAACATGTTTTTTTTTTGTGA